AGAGCCACTCCTGGCAGCTGGGCAAGACCCTTTAGCCCTGGGCGGCTCATCTCCATGTCCACAGTGGGTGAAAAAGGTGGAAGCTTCAGGAGCCAGTGATGGCTGTAACAGCTCCTTCAGCATTAGAATGAGTATTAGGTGGCAGGCCTGGTGTTAGGTCCTGGGCTGGGGCTGAACTGAGAGACAAGTGACTGCCAGGGAAGTTGAAGAAGCCTCCATGGAAAAGCAGGCAATGGGCCTGGGATTTGAATAATGAGCTGCAGAAGCAAGGGACCTAGCAGACCCACCCCATGGAAATTCTGGATCTCTTGGTCTAGACAGTTTTATCAGTCCTGCCTGGAACTCGTCACACATGGAGCAAAGGGGCCCGTGTCTTCGGAGCTGGCAAGGAGTTCTCTATGCATCCTTCACCTTCTGGAAGTGTAAGTACAGGCTGCTGAGGCAGCAGGTGTTGTGGGAAGGAGTGTGTGGTGGCTTGGAGAAAAACATGCTCTGATGGGAAGGAATGAGTGTCAACATCTCCCTTGCTTGAGGACCAGAGACAGGGAACGGGCAGTCACGAGGGTTGGGCAGGTCAAGCACTGTGGCCTTGGACAAGTTAGCACTCCTTTCTGTGGCATGAGTTTCTCATCCAAGAAGTGAAAGTGGTGATCCTAACTGCCTTATGACGTCAGGGTGAGGCTTACATGAAGGAATGCCTGTAGAATTCTTAGTGCAGCCACAGCAGCCCGTAGCCTGCCCCAGGGTCCAGAAGCCATTGTTAGAATTGAGCTGTGAACCCCAAGTGAACAGATGCCTTCTTCCTGCAGCTCCAACTGTCCTAAGCTCTTGGCAAAGAGGAGAGGGGATGTTCAGCGGCCAGGGATATACCCCTCACCCCGACCCTGCAAACAAGACTCTCAGCAAAGAGTCTCAGGATGGGACTCAGAATTTGAGGGGAAACACATTTATCACAAAACTCCTACAACAACATCCATTAAACCTTTGCGCCCTTGCTGAGTCTGGTTCCCTCCGCAGTGGCTCCTGTGTGTCAGTGGGACTCCAGTAGCTAGTTGTGGGTGGCTTTCTCTCCGCCTCTGGAGGTTCCACATCAAGCTGGGGTCCTGTCCACCCAGGAGTATCGGCTGTGTTTGTTGAACAGAGAAAATTGAGACAGCAGCAGCAGGATGGGCTAGCACACGAGGGATGATACTGGCCTCTCCTCAAATTTGCAGGCCCCAGAGCAGGGCAAAGGGATCCATTTTGGAAGGCATAGGACTTGGGGACTCCTTCCTCAACATTTAGCTCAATATACTGGTGCAAAACTTTTGTCTAGGGGTTTTTAATCTCTTCTTTTAATGGCCCATCTCCATTTTCTGCCCGAGGAGACTAAGGCCTAGAGAAGTGACATCTTTTCCTAAAACACTGAGCATGGTTAAAACTTGAGCCCAGGCTTTGTGTCTCCACGCCCTGCTCTCTCTGGTTCTAACTCTGCCTCGAGTCAGCTGTTTCCTTTCTGGGCCTTACTTCTACCAGCTGGGTAATGCGGGAGGTGCCTATGATGTGGCTTTGAATCTCAGTTTGGGGCAATAGACTCCATCGGGTGTGTGACTGGGGAGAATAGGACAAGGCCTCAAGTTCCTTCTATCTCCTCCCAGTTCCAAACACGTGTAGCATCGTCACATCCACATTATTATCACCTCATTTGGAGGATTTTAAGGTTCGTTACCCGGCAGAGTGAAAAGCTCACACCTCCAATTCTGCTTTTTCAAATATACCTTCATAACTTGTGAAAATAACCTTATTAACAGCATCTAAACTGGCACATGCTTTATGTGGCAGGGGAAAGGGGGAAGGACCCAGATAAAAAGGAAAGGAACCAGAGCATGTGGAACAGCGTGGCTGACCTGGAGAGTGAAGCCCGTGGAGCTGCTGGGGTTCTCACCCAGACTTTGGGGGGCTGGGAGCAATTGGACAGGATCAACAGAACTCAGCCAAGGCCCCGGGCAGCCTGGAGCAGCTGGCTTCTCTCTTTGGGGCTTTACTTCTGGCTTCCTCGTCTGGCACTCAGAGCTCAGCAGGGAAACAGCTCCTGTGTCTCCCCGGCTCCCCTGTCTCCTGGACGCTTGTCCAGCATTGATTCTCTGGGCAGCTCCCCCTCCGAGCAGTAAATGAAATATCGGTTACCAGGAGTGAGACGGGAGGCAATTAACCCCGAGACCTCCCCATGGCAGAAGTGTTGGTGGCAAGTTGAAGCAGAAAACCAAGCACACCTGCCTGGCCTTCCTGCAAAGTCATCCAATTAGGGCAGCCCCCAGCAGTGGGCCCTGCTGCCCATTCTGGTCCCCAGACCCCAGAAAGCAGGCAACCCCAGCCCTAGGGCTGGCCGCCGCCCAGGCACAGGATGACTTGGCCATTCTGTCTGTGGGTGAGTACCAGGGACACTTCTGGCCTCACACCTCCTCCTGGCATGGACAGTGTTCCTTAATTAATCACACTTTCTCTCTAAAGGGGAGGTTTGCTTCCTTCCTCCAGAGCAGCCCCCATTGTTCTGCCCATCCAGCCTCCTCCTGCCCCCTAGAATGGTGCTGTGCCAGAGAAGACTAACTGAACAGGAGGCAAGCAGCCCCATGCTTTGCTGTCAGGGAGCCTCTGCTCCATGACCACCCCAGTGGGGTGAGGAGACAGGGAGCCCATGCCCGCTTCCTATAGGCTTCCTTTACCCTCCAAACCAGTCACGGAAGCCTCATGGACTTTGCTTCTAAGAAGCCTTAAATCTCTGGCCTCAGTGGAGGGACATTCTCCTTTCTCAAAGATGACAATTCCAAGAGGAAACACATCCTTCCGTCTATGAGCAGCTGTTTAGTCTGATGAGGGAGCCATAGAACACACCTTCAGGAAGCTGGCCAATCTGACAGCGGAGACACGGCCCTTTCCTGCACAGCGTCCCAAGTCTGAGGAAAAAACAGACTTTGTCGCTGGGGAATCCCTGTGTGGCCAGGAAGACACTGTCTCTGTTGGCTGCCCCGCCGCTGGGATGTTCCTGAGTGACAAGCAGCTGGCAGCTGGCACTGCAGGCCATTCTCAGTGCCTGGCAGAGGTAGGAAAAGTCCTTGGCTTCAGTCCAGCCCCAGCTGTGCCACAAACTTATTGCATGGCCACGGGCAAGTCACGAACCTCCTCCAGACTGTGATTTCCTCATCTGCAACACGAAGATTTCAGTCCCATCTCTCAAAGTGACAAGAGGATTGTCAAGTCACCAGACAGAGAAGCCGGCCAGCCAGCCAGCGAGGCGCTCTCCACAGAAATGATTAGCATGGCTTTATTGTCACACAGGTCTTGCAGCAGCCCCTGTGAATGGGTTGGGGTCCCCTCCCTAACGCTCTCTTACACACACACACACACACACACACACACACATACACGTAGTAGTTAGGCAATTCCTGGCCAATGCAGCCTTCAGGGAATCACCACAGGGTGCAGTAGGTGGCACAGGGTGTGGGTAAGGGGGACGGGGCTCCCTCCTAATCTAATCACTCTTCCCACGGGGACTCTCATTGCAGCCAGACCTGCCAGGGGTTTTATTGGGTTTGTGGAGACCTGCAGATTTCAATCTCCAGACCCCACAGGGAAGGAACAAGTATTAAGCTAATTTTATTAAATGGCTACAGCTGGCAGTGGGGGAAGTTAGTGGAGAGACGGGAGGATAAAGAAAGTCATTGAAGCCTGCTAGCCACGACAAGGGTCCATACATGGGGCCCCGCCAGGAGGGAGCTACCCCTCCTTCCTGTCTCTCCAGCTGAGCCAGACGGGGTGGGAGGCCAGATGGGACCTTCCCTGAATGCAGAGCTTCGGGATTGCTGGGAGTGGGGGTGCTGACCAGGGCACGTGTTTGGAACAACATCAGGTGCCCATAGGACCAGGGTGCTCAGGCGTCCATCCCTCAGTTCTGCTTTGGAAATCCCAGCTCTTTGGAACACGGTAGCTGTAGTAACAGTGTGGTCTTTAGTAGTCCCTAGCTGTGTGATCCTGGCAGGTTACCTGACGTCTCTGAGCCTGCTTCCCTCCAACCCCCTGTCCCCGGTCTCATGTGAGCTAAAACAGCATCCTGTAAAACCATTCCCCAGCCACATACACATGGTGAGATAAGGTTCCTCCACTACGTGTGCCACCCAGCAACGCTGCCAATTTCATAGCTGTAATTATTTAGGGATACCCTAACTGCTCGATGGTCATGGTGCCAGTCACAGGAGGCCAGGGAGGCAGTGGCAGATGTGCCTGGCACTCAAACACCATCACAAAACTCCGCATCCACGTCACACTAAGCAAGCTACTGTACCTACCTGAAGGACCATGATCCACCCATCCAGCCTGCAGAACTGTTTGGGAGACAGGTGAGAGGACACATCTGAAACCTTTAAAGGAAGGTGCAGACAACCAAAGCCATATTTATGCAGCACAGACGCAGCAGCTCTTTAATCCCCTGCCAAGTGAAGTGGGTCTCCTTTACTGACGGAAGACTTGTAGCTTGGAGGTGAAGCTTCTGGACAAGCAGATGGTTGGGAAAAACCTGCTCCCTTTTGCCCCAGACACTAACCCAGAATTTTGTCCTAGAGGAGTGATTTGCCCAAGACCACACACACCCTGGCACAGAGACCGGAACTGAGATCTCCCATTTTGGAGACTGTGTCTTGGGGTGCAGGAGCTACTTCCTATGATACAAAGAGGGGCTCTTTCTTCTCTTTCATCACTGGACCTCCTCGGGCTGCAGGGCCCATTGCCCCCATCTCCAGCTGGAGAGGCTCTAATTCTGGTGCCTGGACCCCCTTCCCCTAAGACTCCTTCTCCATCTGAAGGAGGGCAGGGTCCAGGGCGCCCCCTACAGGGCACAGACTGAAACCCCTGTGGGGGTGGAAATGGTTTTATTACAGCTTTGGTCAGACTTAGTGGGTGGGCAGCTGGGCGGAGCGTTGGGGGAACTGGAAAACCATCCAGCCCCCAGCCTATCTCTCCTCGGGGCGGCAACCCCCGAGAGCCGGAGGGCAGCTCCATCTGAGGGCACAGGAACAACTCTGCCGCGACCTCTCCCCAGGCGGTTGGGATGGCAGGCGGGGGCGAGCCGTAACAGTCCTATTGTACAGGTATACAGCGCGGACAGGAGGGCTAGCGGGTGGGCCGGGGTCGGGCCGAGGCCGGGGCGGTTAGCCCCGCGTCCTGCGGACCCGGCTCCGCGGCGAAGTGAGCCGGCGGGTCAGAGCGCCTAGCAGAGGTCCCGCGGTGATAAGAGCGGGCCGGGGCGTGGCAGGGTGAGGCAGGGAGGCGCAGAGGCTCAGTCGGAGTAGATAATGAAGCCAGAGAAGGTGCTGTATTTGTTGCTGTTGCCACCGTGCGCTTTGCCGCCGTCGAGCTTGATGAAGACCTCGTCGCCCACGTCCAGGTGCAGGATCACGCTGTTGCTGGCGTAGTCGTAGTTCTGGTCAGCGTCCTGGGCGATGGCGCTAGCCCGCACCTGTGGGGGAATCCCGGGGTAGTGGAGTACAGTGTGGGTTGACAGGGTAGGGAGGTGAGGCGGCCTGGAAGCCGGTGCTCAGCCTGCTCCGGGAGGCCGATCTATCCACTGCGACCGCACCTCCACAGGTGCGCATGGAGGAGCCTCGATCTTCTGGGGATGTGTCTAGTCTGCACCTGGAACCCAAAAGAAGCCTCCTCCTATCCCTCTACCCCACTCGCCCCTTGGGAACCCCAATGTCACCGGGGTCACAAGGCAAAAGAGAATTCTCTGAATCTTCAGGGCAGGGCAGGGTGGGGGGCGAGGTGGAGGGCCTCTCCCTCTTGCCTCATCATTCCACTCTCTCCATTTTAATCAGAAAAACGACAGGGAGGGCACCCTAGCTGTTAAGACACCTACAACCCGTATTGGAGGACCTGGTTTGAGACCCAGCTCTGGCTGCTGTGGACATTTCAGGAATGAATCAGTGGATGGGCGTTGTCTACCCATCAGTCTCTCCACTTATCTAACGAAACCGGTGCATAAATCCTGAGGCTGCCTTCCACTTCAGCCACAGCCACCCAGTCTTGTCAGTGACCCACACAGAACCCTGGCCCCACCAGCCAGGCATCTGGGCCTGCTCAAGGCTGCTAGCAAGCCACCAATCCCAGAACTAGGTCAGGTCTTTGGATGCCTCATATGATGTCCAGTGCACTCTCCCACCAGGGCAGAATGTGGGTGCCCTGGTATTTCTTTCACCGCCCCCCAGGCTTGAGTGGGGCTCGGGTTCCAGTCCTTGGGAAGCAGCCACTGTACCCCTATGCCCCCTGCACTGCCCAGCGAGGACTTGCAGCTTCCCCCGGTCTCACCTCAGGATACTGGGAAGGAGCTGGGCAGAAAGAATCAGGACTTAAATCCTCTGCCAATCTCAGGCTGATCCATTATCTCTGCTTCGATGGAGAATGGGCAAGGATGGGCAGGACTGCTAGTCAAGGACCAACCTTTGGGCCTGAAGGCTGCTGTCCCTTTTGAGAGCTCTAAGTACATCCTAAGACACAGAGAGAGTGTGGCGTGTTGATGGAGAAAATTACCTCCATAATATTCCTCTCTAACTGCCCAGACATCACAAGGACCAAGCCTTAGATCTGGGGTCTCCTCAGCCTGTCTGGGATGTGAAAGGGTAGGCTGGCTTGCAAAGAGCTCTTTCTATCCTGACCCTCCCCAAAGACAGCTCCCCTCCCACCCTACCCCAGGACCTCCATCTGGGCTGGATGGAACCAAATGAAAGGGGGAGGGGAAACTCCTTCCTCCTTGGCTGAAGGCAGAACCTCAGGGCAGCTGGACTACAGCTGCTGACTCAGCAGCAACTTCCTGGGAAGAGGACCCCGACCCTCCCCGCCCCCCTGCATTTGCAGCTTGGATCCCTCCAGTCCCGGCTCTCCCTGTAACCTAGGAAGGAGGGTGCTGTGTAGGTCATTTAGCCAGGAAAACCCCAGGTCCAGCTCAGGGCTTGGTGTGGGGAGATGCGTACTGAGGCTGTTTCTCTCTCTAGGAAGGTGGGAGAAACCCTCTTCTGGTCACGGCCACCTTGGCGACAGCCTTTGGATACGGAAGTGAGACTGTCATCCTGACATGCTCTGAACCCCTCGGGAGGAGCCGCTATAGACTGCCAACATCTCCATTGTTCCCTGGACTCTGATCATGGTACTGTTTATTATTATACACGCATTTCATTATCTTTGCTAATAAATTACTACTAATAACAATTATTTTTATTACCCAGATTAATTTAGCTTTAACTCATTAAAACTGTGCTTCATAATAGCCAAACCCATTAGAAAACAGTCATCCGTCATCAGGAATCTCCTGGTGATGTGACAGCCATCAGAAATGCTATGCCTCTGTTTATTATTTATTCATCACCATGATTGTTGCTGTAATTATTCTAATTATCTATGGAGGCAGGAAGAATTAATACCCTTCCATCCTTGGAGAGTGGGAGAGGATCCAGGAAGGGAACCGGGGTGGGGGTCCCAATTCTTGGCCCAAGACTGGAAAAGGTGGAGGAATCAGGCTCCTCCTGGGAGCCAAGGGCCAACCTGGGAACTTGAGGTTGCCATGGAAGCAAAGAAGCAGATATGGCCTTGTCAAAAAAGGTATACCATGGAACCACCTCCTTAAGGGTTGCAAGGAGGGGAAACTGAGGCAGTGGTCTAACCAGGGAGAAGTGGGTGGAGCAGGGGATGTTCAGGAAATGTGTGCCTGTCTCCAGATCAAAGCCAGGTTCCCCACACCCCGCACTGCAGCAGTCAGCCTGGTCCTGCAGGGAACATCTGCTTTACACAGGTACCAGGAGCCCATTGCGCTGACACTGGCCTTTGCCCTGCAAGAGGTATTAGGGACCAGAGATGATAACTGGGACAGTAGGGGGTAGGGGAGTCCTTCTGCCCTTCAGGTGAAAGAATGATCTCAGGTAGGTCTTTATTCTTCAGCCCTCAACATACATATGCTACCAGCTCCTCGATCAGATCATATTGTCCAAGCCCTCACCTTGTTGCAACACCCACCTCCCCAGAGCACGGTTCTCTGGACAGGTAGCACCCTGGCCAGAGGCCCTGCCCCAGACCAAGTTTACTGATTTGTGTTTTCCCTGACCTGTGGGACTGGGGCACTGCAGGCAGTGTATCTCACCCAGGGCAACCTGCAGTGCTTCCCCCAGGCTCCTCATGCCCTAACGACCAGGTCCCGGTGCCAAGGTGAGGGGTGTGAGCCTAAAACCACACCCACAGAGGGGCCAGGGAAGGCGTCTCCACACCAAGCATGTACCATCTGCCTGGGGAAGGGCCAGAGTTCAGCTTTAGCTCTGCCTTCCTGAGGAAATTCTGGAAGCCCCTTTGCAGGCCAGAAAGATAAGTGCAGAGCTCCAGTGGTACCTGGTCCTGGAGGCAGGCAGGTACAAGCTCCTCTGTGCCGTTCCTACCCTTGGCCCAGCCTGCTGTCACTCCGTGCACTTGAATGTCCTTGTCCGCCCCTGTGCCAGCCTGTCCCTACATCTGACCTTTTTATTTCTTCCCTGGTAAGGTCTCTTCCTTCCCAGAACCCAGCTCACCATTCTCTCCCCTGAATGGGCCAGGGTAAGTCCACCTGGGGCCAGAAGTGGTCTGTTGGTGTCCCAGGCCCCCCCACCCACTTCCCCATTTACTTGCTGGGGTGGATGTGTTACGGGACAATGACTATTGTCCCCGTACACAGGCCATGGAGCCCCGGTACTAAGGCCCACACCTGGCTCCTAGCAGGGGCTCCAGGTTAACATGAGGGATAGCAGGGGGGCGGGGAGAGGCAACTGAGTCTCCTGGATGGCCTGCAAGGAGTTGTCACAGAGGTTTTAGGGATAGGGTGATCTCAGTGGCTATAAAAGAGCTTGGTCTCTGAACCCCTAGTTAAGGCCACCTCCCTTTTTCTGCTATCCTTGGATACACCTCCACCAAGTACCCCTCTGTCAGGTTCCACAACACCCTGTCCCTGTTGGAGGGGGAACAAGGAGCGCTTGGGTGCTTTCACCTCCCAGGGACTGAAGCAACCACCCACACATCCCATCTTCAAGGTTTCCTCTTTCCTAACATCTGGGGCTTGGCCACACCCTCTTGAGGTGGTACAGGATCTAAAGGGGCATGAGTGGCCTGGCTACTACCTTTATATCCAGGCAAGCCCTCTCTCCCCTGAAATCTCAGCTTTGGGCCAGCCCCTTTGGGAAGGGAAGGAATGCCATCAGTGAAGGTGACATTGGTACATCCCGTATTGATGACTGATCAGGGGAATTGTGGGGCTGTCTGCAGAAGGAGCCCTTGTCAGACTCCAGGGCCTTCCATTTGGTCAAGACCAAGGGCAAAGAGGAGAGAAGCAGGAGAACAGAGAGAGACAGGGAATAGACCAGAAATGGTTAGGGCCCAGGGATAGGGACCAGAAACCTAGGGAGGGATGGACAGAAGACAGAGATAAAAAAGGTAGAATCTGGGGGCAGGATGATGGCCAAGCAGGCAAGGAGAGGGAAGAGGGGGCAAATCCCCAAGCACCTGGTGGGCTTTCTGCTAGTTCCCCCTGCCTGGCTCCTTCCTCCATCCCCAAGCCTTGCGGACCCAAGGCCAGCAGTTCCTGGGGCAGTGCTGCGGAGGCAGGACCCCGGGCCAGGCAGGTTCCTTTCCGGCTCCTTCCAGCCCAGCTTTAGTTCTGAAAGGGGGTCACTGCCTTCTTCCAAGAGAATGCTCAGCCTGACCACAGCCCCAGGGCTCCATGCTGGGCAGGGAGGTGGCATCTGGGAGCTGGATGAAGTTATCACCCTGGCACAGTGTTGAGTGGAGGTTGTCTCAGGGCTGCTGTCCCCAACAGAACGCCTTTGCCGCGTTTCTCACACACTCAGCACCTTCCTGCGCTGAAGTCCAAGGGGGGGACAGGGAACAGGGAGGATCACCCTGCCCTTCCATGGTCAGGACAGGGTGGGAGAAGGAGGAGTCCCCCTGTGCCCTGTCTCAGGAGGAGAAACTTTTCCCCTGAGGCCGCCCACTTGCACCAGGTAGCTGACACAGTGGGATGGCGCTGGCAGTCCCAAATTCTGCAAAGGGTGTCAGAGTGACCCAGTGTAGCCCAAGGCTCTGCCAGGGCCAGCTCCGACTCCTTTTGTTGCCTTAGACACTTCCTGCCTCCTCTGCTTGCCCGCATAGCAACCCCCCACCAACCACCGCAAGCACCAAGGCTGTCTCTCCCAACCGGCGCCACACGCCCCTTCCTTGCCCCCTCCCCTTACCGCCCCTTGTAGCAGCCTGAATCTCTACTAGAGATCTCTCTACTAGAGCCAAGCCCCCAGCAGCCAGGTGCGCGCCCCACCCTGTGCTCTGACAACCTGCGCCCTGCCAGCGCCGGGGGTCACCCGCACGCGGGGCCGTGGTGCGTTCACCACCTGATCTCGCCCAGGAGGACGCTGCCTCTGCTTCCGCCCTGCGTTAGCGTTAGCCCTGGGCGCCCTACCACCCGGCCAGCCTCGCATCCCGCCTGGCCCACCTGGCCGTTCTTGCAGAGGTCTGCCCACATGCTGGTGCCGTCGCCGCCGCGCATGAGGACGTGGTAGGTGAAAAAGTAGGTGCCGGGAATGTTGCAAGTAAACTTGCCGCTGGCCGCATCGTAGTTGTTGCCTAGGTTGGTGACCACATCGTCAAACTTGAGCACTTCGTAACCCTCATGAGGATTCTTGAGGCCGGCGTAGAAGGCCACACGCGGCACCGTGGTGTAGGTGGCTGTGCTGATGGCGCCGCTGCCCCCCGTGCCGGGCAGCCCGGGGAGGCCTGGCTTGCCTGGTTCACCTCTTTCCCCGGGAGGCCCTACAGGACCAGGAGGGCCTGGGTCCCCGGGAGGCCCAGGGGGTCCTGGCTTGCCGGGGCGACCCGGTTTCCCCTGGGGGCCCTGCACCAGCGTGGAGGGCGGAGGCGCGCCGCTCTGCTCGCTCAGGGCGTCGCCACCGTCGGGTCGCGCGCCGGCGCCGGGGCCCCTCGCGGGGTACGGGTCGCACACCATGCGGCAGGTGCCCAGCATCTCATAGTGGCCGTCCGGACCGCCCGAGCTCACCAGCACGGGGATCAGCACCACCAGCACCAGCAGCATCACCACGCCCGCCGCGGCCGCCAGCAGTGTCTTCCGGCCGGCGCGGAGCCTGGGCAGCGCCGGGCCGCCGGGCCGCGCCGTCGGGGCAATGGTGCCGGCGGGCTGGGGGCGCGCGGGCCGGGGCCCCGCGCTCAAAGGCGGTCCGGCGGGGCTGCGGGCATGGGGCCAGGTCCCGGGCGCCGCGCTGCGCTCGGTGCGCTGCGGAGCCCAGCTGCGGGCTCCGGCCTCGCGCCTCCCTCCCGCTGCGCGGCCGGACTGAGTCCCGCGGCCGCCACCTCCCGCCTCGCGCCTCGCCGCGCCCTCCGCCGGCCCCGCCCACCCGCTCCAAGCCGCTCGCTCAGCGCGAGGGGTGGGACTGCGGGCGGGGCCGGCGCCCAATGGGGCCGCGGGAGTCAGGGAGGGGGCGGGCAGAGGGGCGGGGACGGTGGACAGGGGGCGGAGTCTGCCAGGGCCGCGGGAGACTGAGCCTGGGATCTGGGGAGGGGGCTGGACTTGGAGAGAAAGCAGGGACGCCGAGGGGAGTCGGGCTGGAACCTGAGAGGGAACGGAGAGTGCCGAGGGGATCCGGGGAGGCGAGAGTCAGTTCCGAGGAAGATGCAGGGCCAGAGGGGAGCCACTAGGGGCCACGACCCTCTGCGGGGAGCGCCCGGGGCCTGCGGGGAACAAAGCGCTTGAGAGAAGGACCAGAGGGAGAGTTCCGAGCGGGGAACCGCAGGGAAGGCAAAGGAAGGAGCGGGAGGTGGGAGGCGGGCCCCTCAGCCCGTCTGACAGGGCCGGCCCGTGCGCGTTCAGCGTCCCCCGTGGGATCCCGAGTGCGGGAGGCCCTGACTGAACGCCCGACCCACCTTCTCCCAAGAGGGGGAAGGATCCGCAACCCCTCCTCAGCCCGCCGCTGGTCCCCTTCTGCCATCTTCCTGCCCATTTCCTTGTCCCTGCTTCTGGACCAAGGGAGAAATGAGGATCCCAAGAGGATGGGCAGCCCCACTTCATGTCTGCGGACCGACTGGCACCGATTAGTCCTGGGGGCCATGAGGAGTGGCCCCCTCTTTTGAAGCCTCAGAGAGGAGAGACTGGTCTCAGCAGCTCCTCGGGTCCTCCTCTCCCGCCCTCCACCGCCAGTCTCCCAACTCCTCTCCCCGCGGGGCTGTATGTGGCCCTATTCCTTAAGTGCAGCAAAATGTTTGGGTTGCATAAACTGAAACGTGTCGGCTTCCATCAGCGTATCTGTCACATTTTTTGAAGCACAGCTTCTGCGGTTCTACTGCTGTCCCCTTCCTATGTGGGGCCCACCAGGGAGGACCCCGGCCGGCGGCAGTGGGAAAGACACCCTGGCCCTCTTCCGTCCCGGGAGGTCCCTCGTGTGCCTCCCTGCTGGTCGACCCCCGGGGCTGTGAGGACGGGAGCGCTGAGGCGGCCGATGGGGCAGTGACCTCGGGAGGACGAGGCCATCACTGACATCTGACCAGAGGTTGGCATGACCCCCTCCACCCAGGAGGACACTGTCACGCTTTCCCTCGGGGCTCCCTGCAGAGCGCCAGACCCTGTGCGAGCGCTCCTTAGCCGTGTTCTGCGCTCGCACTAGATCTTCCCATATGTCCAGGAGTAAAAAAGCCCGTCAGGATTCTCATTTCACAAATGCCGGGCCGGGGCGCCGGGAACTTCAGAAATTTGCCTAGAGTCACACAACTCGGGAGTGGAGTGGAAGAGCCGGGAGTCCAGCTCGCAGCCTCGCTCCCAGCCCTGCCCGCCTCCAGCCTCCAAACTGCGGAGCCTCAGCGTGCTGCTGGCGGCCGGAGGTGCAGGTGGCAGGTAGATCCGAGTGGCTAGACCTCGCCAGGCTGCAGCAGAGAGAGCTCCAGGGGCCGCAGGATCGCCACCCGAGGAGCGGCAACGTGTGCGCGGTTTCCGGTGCGGACTGTGTCCCTCCCCAGGACGCGCGCGCACGCGGGCACCCACCCTGCACCGCGCCCCCGCCCCGAAAGCGCGCCCACTCCCCCGGCGCCGTGCGGTGTCTCTGTCAGCCCAGCCGGATTCTCCCCGCTTCGCTGGAGTGGAAAATAACGGCTTCAAACTTTGCAGCGAGGAGCTGGTGCCAGCACTTTAATTAACAGCCATCTTGGCCGGCGAGCCTGGGCCACCGGATCGGTGCCTCCCCCTGGGGCTGCAGCGCAAACTCCCTCCCCGGCCCGCCCAGATCCAGACCGCCCTAGCCTTGACGCCCGGCGCCCCTTCTCCTAGGAGATGAGGAGCTGACTGATAGGGGAATAGATACTGCCTTGAGGCGGGGATCTCCCAGCTTCATACCCAAAGTCTCCTCCATATGCTCCCCTTCACTAAAAAGATGGAAGCTGCTGAAATTAGACTTGCTTGCCAATCCCACCAGGTGCTTTTAGGTAAATCTAACCTGTGTGGTCCAAATGTCCTCCTTGGGATAGAGAGTGGTTGTAATTAGACCCTGGACTCAGTCTGTCCTACCCTGTGCTCCCAGTGAATCAGTAGCTGCTCAAACCATTTCCCTCGGGACCAGAAGGCTCACACCTTGGGCTCCCCACCTCCCAAACACACTTCCTTACAAATGACCTGGCGTGGCACTGGAGGGCTGCCACAGGCCTGGGCTTGCAGCTTGAGAGAGAGAACTAATGAGAGGGAGAAACCCTGCAGTTGGGACTGCCAGTCTGCCCAGGCCAGAAGCCCTCAGATTCTCAGCCCCCCAGCAGGAAGCAGGAACAGCTCCTGCTACAGCCAGGCAGCAGCTGGGGCTGATATGACTTTGAACTGCCTATATGTGAGTGAGGGGCTGCTCCTAACAACTGTTGTCACCCCCGGGGTGGGGCTGGGATGCTGGGCGTTGAGGGTGTTTGTGGAGAGTCCAGGTGAGTGGGCAGGTAAGACTCGACTTAGGCTAGGCTGGCTCCAGGTCCTTCAGGATCCTTTGAATGGACATGTGGAGGCATGGATGTGTAAGAATAAGCGTTGGGGTGCCACCTGGGTGTGTGAGTGGGGAGAAAGGGCAGTGCCCTGACTTACCCATCAGCAATCTGCATCCAAGTATTCCCAGGGTCACTGAGAGCACCTGGCTAGGCCCTGTCAGGTGGCCGTGATGTAACCAAAGCTGTGGTGGTTGCTGAGCCCTTACTAAGTGCAACATCCTGCTCTAAGCATTGTCTGGATCCTCTCAGCTCAACTTAATGAACTATTACTGCGATCTAAACCCACTACAAGACAGAGGCCATTTACTAGGAAAACAACATGATGTAGGTGGTATTCTTTCCCCTGTTTCATAGCTGAGGAATCTCACCCCAGAGTGGGGGTCCGTGCTAGGTGTGGGGAAGGCGCAGAGCAAGAACGCCCTGCCTAGATAAATCCAAGCAGGCTCCACAGCGGAGGCGCCCTCCCATCCATCCTCTGTCCTGTAAAGTATGCTAATTGACTACCCACTACTCCCCTTGTTTCTTTTCTTTTCTTTTTTTAATTGCAAAGTCAGATATACAGAGAGGAACAGAGACATAGAGAAAAATCTTCCATCCAATGATTTACTCCCCAAGTGACTACAATGGCCAGAGCAGTGCGGATCCGGAGCCAGGAGCCAGGAGCCAGGAACTTCCTCCAGGTCTCCCATGCAGGTGCAGGGTCCCAAGGCTTTGGGCCGTCCTTGATTGTTTGCCCAGGCCATAAGCAGAGAGCTGGATGGGAATGGAAGCAGGGCTGCCGGGATTAGAACTGGTGCCCATATGGGATCCTGGCACTTTCAAGGTCAGGACCCCAGCTGCTAGCCTACCACGCTGGGCCTACAACTCCCCTTGTTATCACAGAATGTGATGATGAGTCAAAAGAGGCTTCTGGCCTCATATACTTTATGAGATATCACTGGAACCTGAACAAATGATTGCTATCTAGCCTGACAAGTTCATGGCCAGGAAATAAGCACACTGCAAGGGGAGCACGCAACAGTGCCAGCCCAGTTCCTTAGGAGGTGGGGAATCATGGGGAACTCGCTGGAGGAGGTGATGTAAATTTATTCATTTATTTATTTTAAAAATTTGTTTTTATTAAATAGTCAGACATGTAGAGAGGAGCAGAGACAGAGAGGAAGACCCTCCATCTGATGATTCATTCCCCAAGCCAGGAGCCAGGAGCTTCTTCTGGGTCTCCCAAGCGGGTGCAGGGTCCCAAAGCTTTGGGCCATCCTTGACTGCTTTCCCAGGCCACAAGCAGGAAGCTGGATGGGAAGCAGGACTGCTGGGATCAAAATCCGCACCCATATGGGATCCCTGTGCATGAAAGATAAGAACTTTAGCCACTAGGCTACTGTGCTGGGCCCGTACATTTATTTTTTAATGTCCTTATTTTGAGAGGGAAATGGGGAGAGAGAAAAAATGTAGTAGTGCTCTCATCCACTGGTTCACTTGCCAAATAACTGGGCCAGGCTGAAGCCAGGAGCCAGATGGCTACTTAAACCATCAGCCGCTGCCCTCCCAGACTGCACCTTAGCCGGGAGCTGCCGTCAGAAGCAGAGTTGGGGTACAGGATGTAGGTGTGCCGTGCCAAGGCTTAACTGCTAAGCTGCATGCCACCCCAGAGGTGTCCAAGTTAAGCCATCCTCATATCATTTACTCCTCACCAAAGGTGGAAAGGATCAGGATTATCATCTCCAGAATGGAGGTGAGAAGCCCAAGGCTCCAAGGGGTTAAGTAGCTTGCCCCAACCCCACCAGCCCCAGGCTCTGGCAGTTGCTCCAGGGAGGGTCAGAGTTGGAGAGCAGATCAGCTGCATCCCAGGAAGTGGCAGTTTCCAGTGGGCAGCTCATCCTTGGGGGGGGTGGGGGAAGGGAGAGAGAGGTTGGGCCAAGGTCCAGGAAAATCAAAGGTATGTGTTTGTTTTCCTGTTGAAGCCACTGACCTGTAGCCCTGGCTTGGGCAGGACCCGGAGCTGGCCCCTGGAAGGCAGAGATGGGCTCCCCAGGCCCAGATGATGGGCTGCCGGCTTGCCAGAGGAAATCC